GATGTGTGAGCACCACTTGGTGCCCCTTTTACGGAAAAGTCTCTATAGGTACCTGTCCCTGCCAAGAAAATTCTGGGACTTAGCAAATTGGCACGGTAAGATAATTAAAAAATAAAAAAAAAATAATGTTGCAATTTTTGGTGAACAAGAAGCACATGTGGCTATTGTTAAGATTATTGAGTTGCTTTGCAGATTATTTTAGGCTTCAAGGAATTACAACACATGCACTATTGCTTGGATTAGTTTTTGCGAATTTTGCACACTTTTTGCACTTTTTGCAATTTGCTTTTTGTGTCACTTCTTGTTCCGACGAGCAATTTAAACACAATTTTGTCTACATGACTGTAAAAAGAATCATAATTTGAAAATGATGATTTATGTTTAATAATAATTTTTGTCAGCATATGATTATATAATATTTCGTAAGTAAGTAAATAGTTTAAAGAAAGTTTGCTCAAATCCTTTAATTTTGTTCAAACCTATACAGATTTTTCCTGAATTCTTTAAATTTCGTAAAATGTTTTGATATCTCTAAATTTCTCTATGAATTTTTTAACGTTTGTCAAACATATCTTCTTATTTTGTCTTTTAATTACTTTTATTCAAAATACTTTTATTCAAAAAAAATATTTTTGTCAAAGTCTCTAAATGTTTGTCCAGACGTTCTTAATTTCATTTGCTTTAAATGCTTAATATTTTGTAATTTTTTTTTAATTTTGTCCACGTTTTTAAATTGTTATCTTCATTCTCTAAAGTTTGTTCACAATTTCTAAATTTTATCTTAATTCTTCAAATTTAGTTCAAAATTTTGAGTTTAATTTAATTTTATTAATTAAATTATTAAATGTCAAAGTTTTTTTTCTCAAATTATTATTTAAATTAGAGTTGATTATATAAATTTTGTCTAATATTTTAATTTTGTCTAAAATCTTTAAATTTTGTCCAAGTTTTTTAAATTTTGTCCGCATTTTTATTTTCATCAGAATTGTTCAAATTTTATATAGTTTCCCTGGATTTTTTTAATTTTTTCCCAGATCTTGAAAACTCCATTAAGCTTTTCTAAATGTTGTCCAAAATTCTCAAGTTTTGTTTAAATTCTTCAAATTTGGCCTCGAAAACTATAAATTTTGCCCAAATTTTTTATATTTTATTTCAGTTTTTTAAATTTTAAACTTCTCTCCAATTTTTGAAAATTCTTCATTGTCTATAATTCGCAATTGAAAAATACATGAAACTCTTTTTACTTCTTTTTCTTTTAGTTTCAGTTTTATTTTTAATTTATTTAACATAATTCTTGTTAAGATTTTTTTGAGTATATGAAAATGGATAAATGTTACTTTAAAAAAGAATTTATTTTTATTAAGGGTTGTTCAATCCTAACACATTTTTTCAATTTTGGGGTCAACAATTGACAAAATACGTACTTCTCTTACTTCAAAATACTATTTATTTTTATTAGGGCTTATCCATTATTTATTTTTATTAGGGCTTATCCATCATCCCTAATATTTTTTGTAATTTTTTTGATCAATTTTATTTATTTTACTTTTCTATGATTAGAATTCTCTTTACTTCAAAAAACTATTTATTTTTATCAATGGTTGACCACCCCTATTTTTATAAATTTTGGGATCAATTTTCTTTCAGTTTTAATTTTATTTAACATGATTTTAGTTAAGATTTTTTTGAGTTTATGAAAATGGTTAAATGTTACTTTAAAAAAAAATTATTTTCATTAAGGGTTGTTCAACTTGTTGTTTTAAATGTTTTCCAAAATTCTTGAGTTTTGTTTTAAATCTTCAAATTTAGCCTCGAAGGTTATAAATTTTGTTCAAATTTTTTATATATTATATCAGTTCTTTAAAATTCACACTTTTTACCAATTCTTGAAAATTCTTCTAAGGATATTAAAATATTGTCCAAAATTCTGCAAATTTGGTCCAAAACTTTAAATTTTGACCAAATTCTTCAAATGCTAGTAGAACTCTAAATTTGTAGAAGTTTTTAAACTTCTTACCAATTGTTTAAAATTCTTCTAATTTTATTAATGCTGTCCAATTTAAATATTGTTTTTTGAATTTTGACCAAATTCTCTAAAAAATTTAAAATTCCTAAATTTTTTACTAAATTATTATTCAAATGTATGTCTTATTATCATAAAAAAATTGGGGTGATTTTCTATAAATTTGCATCGTCCCAGGGGTGTATTCAGTTGATGTTTTCAATACCTTACCTCACCAGCACCACAGCACAATTGCTAATAAGGATTTATGGATTCTAACAACCACCACAACCACCATGGTGTCCTTATGTTGAGTTGCTTGTTATTGTCGTATTGTCTATATAGTATCCTTAGTCATTTGCATTTTATGATGTACATATAGTGTTAACACCCTCTTCAGGATCGTTGAGATCTTCTCGAGGCGGCTGCAGGTGCAGGAGAGGCTCACCAAGCAGATCGCGCTGGCCGTCACGCAGGCGGTGCAGCCTGCAGGAGTGGCGGTCGTAGTCGAAGGAGTGTGAGTAGAAAAAAATAATATATTCATACTTATATATATATATATATATATATATACACCTAAGTCTGTTTTTACACGGTCTTTTTGTACACGGTTTTGATATAACACGGTTTGAAAATTGAAGATTTTTAATTTTTTACGCGATTTTATTCCATTTAGCACGATTTGAAATTTTATGTACTTAATTTTTTTTTGTCAAATTTAATTTTTGCGAAGTATGTTCATATCACAAAAAAGTATTTATGAAAGAAAAAAGTCTGAAACCATCGATAGTATCGATAGTTTGCGAACACTAGCTTAAAGATTTAAGTGAATTCCCCTTTAGCGCGTACAAACAATTTTTACTGGTCAAAGCAAATGTGAATAGCACTCATTTAGGGGAATACCCTGAAAATTTTTGTTTTTCACTAATTTTAATGGGTTTTAGAGATTAGGAACAAATCACCCATTTTTGTATAAGATCAATGTCTTTTTTTACACGTTTTTTTTTTACACGGCTTCTTATGGAACCAATCTGCCGTGTAAAAACAGACTTAGGTGTATATATATATATATATATATATATATATATATATATATATATACTAGCTGACCCGGCAAACATTGTTTTGCTAAGTAAGGTATATTCTTAACAATTTCTAGAAAATCAAAATATTAATACTTTTAGTGTATAAGGATATGTTGTTTGAATGTTATATACATTGAGGTATTATAAAAACAAATAAACCCCATTAGTTTGTCCATATTTTGTCAATACAATCTAACTGGAAGTTTTATACACTTTCTATAGAAAACATGGTATAATCCAATCCAAGTCATTTTTGGTCTTTCGACTTATTGATTACGTTTCAAGTTTTTCAGATTCTTTTTTGATTCAGGATTTTGTGTTTAATTGTAAATAATACCACTGAACTTATACAAAATTTTCAAATTTCTGCGAGGAGAGATAGAAAATGAATTAGGTATTTCTTCTTTAACCTGCTTTTTGAAAAGTTTCGGCAAAATGTCCCCTTGATCGATACCAAATTTAGGTTTTGAATTTAAATAACTTAAATAAAAAATAATATAACCTAGAAAATGTTTTATAAATACTAATGAGTATATAATTATACAAATGAGATCTATCAGAGCATCGTGTTTGAGAAAAATATGCCAAAAAGTGTATTTTTATATTAACATTTCAAAAAAGTTGATATTTAGTTTCTAATAACACTTGCGGCCCGTTTACTAACGTTTCTATATATAAATAAAACTACAAACAAACCTACTTACTACAATTCAATCATAATTAAATAATATTCACGTAAAACATCCTATTAAACGTAATTGAATATCATCTGTCAAAAACGTTTAATACTTCACGCACTAGCCACCGTCCATTGTTTTATTTAAATTACGCTTCTACAAAAAAATGTACAAATTAAAAATGTAAACTTTCCACCCGATTTTGAAATAATCTCACCTTTCCAACAACCTATTGATTAGCTATTGATTAGCACGAATTTTTCAAGACTAAGATTGGCCAAATCGATTCAGCCGTTTTCGAGTTTTACCGGATCATTTTATCGAGAGCTCCATTTTTATATATAAGATATAGTAAAGTCAACCAGAATGCGACATGCATAAGTTTAAAAAAAATAGGTATACGCAATTTTGGACTTGTTGAGTTATTATAAAACTGAAATATATAATTTCATCTGCCAAACTTCTCCTGTTGACTGTATCTTATATTATTTTAATTTTTGGCACATCTCAGCTGCTTTTTGGTAATAATAATGTAGACATTACATTTTTCTTGTATATTATATTTTAGACTCATAATTTCAGCTAAATTCAAATTTCAAGTGAATTGAAATTTCCAGCAGATGACAGTTTAAATGTTTTCAATGTCAAACAATGATAAGTGTTTTTTTTGTAAATTTTACCATTTATTTCTACAATATTACTATATTTTTATAATCGTTTAAATCCTAAAAATTTTCCTTAACTAATTTCAAAATGATTTATCAAAATCCGAAAAATCGTTTAGAAGGAGTATCCTTTCATACATCATAAATAAAATTCTTCTGTACGGATGTAAGTCGAGATACTCCTCCTAAACGGTTATTTGGTTTTTGATAATTCTTTTTGGAGTTTGTCAAAGGAAATTTTTAAGATTTAATTAACGATAAAACAATAGTAATTTTGTAGAATCAATTTAGGGCTTGGTTTGCTCGTCAGTAGAGTTCTTTTTTTGTTCCCAGTTCGAGATTGAATTTGCTCGTCAGTAGAGTTCTTCTTTGCTCAATTCGAAATACAATTTGCTGGTCAGTAGAGTTCCTTTTTTGTGCTAGTAGAGTCCTATTTTTATTTTTGTATCCAGATTTAAATTGTCCTTCCAGCTTTTATTTTCATGTTGACTTTTAGTTTGCTTACCAGTAGAGTTCTTTTTCTATTTTATATTGATATTCACGAGCAAGGTAATCTTTTTCTTTTTATAAATGATAGTCAGTGCGGGTGTATAATTTGATACTCCTCTTAAACGGTTATTCGGATTTTGATAAATCTTTTTGGAGTTTGTCAAAGGAAATAATAAATGCCAAAAAATACAAAAAAATAAAAAACTTATCATTGTAAAATATTTGAACTGTTATCTGATAGAAATGTCCATTCACTTGAAATTTGAATTTAGCTGAAGTTATGAGACTAGATAATATTAGAATATAATATACAAGAAAAATGTAATGTCTACATTATTATTGCTGAAAAGCAGCTGAGATGTGCCAGAAATTAAAATAATTTAAAATACAGTTAACAGTATATGTTTGGCAGATGCAATTATATAATTCAGTTTAATAAATAACTCAACAAGTCCAAAATTGCGTAAACCATTATTTTTTTAAACTTATGCATGTCGCATTCTGGTTGATTTTATTATTTAGAAGTTTGGCAGATGATTTTTTTTTTAATTAATTTGAAAATTTGCTTTATTTGTCTTAAATACATACATTGATTTCTACATAAAGATACAAATTGTATACACCTATTCTGGGAATATCATTATACTATCATAATATAATATTGTTTGCATATATATATATTTGTTTCAATTAGCTTATATAAGTATGAAAAGAGCTATTAAAAACATACTGCCATATTATTTGGCAGATGAAATTATATAATTCAGTCTAATAAATAACGTAACAAGTTTAAAGTTGCCATATTTAGTTAGTTGATCTTAGATTGAATAGTGCACATGTGTACCAGATTTTACAAATTAATTCACCTAAGTTTTGAACATAAACAATAATGTTTATTAAATTATTAGTAAGAAAAATGTACTTTAGAAACTATAATTGCCAAAAAGCAAATAATATATCGTACGAGATTATAAAAATTATAGACTAAATAACTAAAGCAATTATGTTGTGTGGTAAAATCAAGTCTTAACGCAGATACTGTATTATTTTTATCTGAATTTCTTATAAATTTATGCTAAGACCATAAATGAATCACAAGTCCAGGACATCAAATAGGATACTAAAAAGTATAGGATAGGATATTAAAAAATTTGGAATTTTTGAATTGTAGACGTGGGTACAGGATGTCTGTCGGGTCATCTAGTATATATATATATATATATATATATATATATATATACGTGGTCTGTTCAAAAAGTACCCGGAATTTTCGTATATAAATATAAAATATTTATTTATTCGTCTACATTAATGTGGTCCCCTTCAAAGTAGTCCCCCCCAGATATAATACACTTATGCCAGCGTTTTTTCCAATTTTCGAAGCACCCTTGATATTCACTTTTTGATATGTCCTTGAGCACTCTCAGCGATTTTCTTCAATCGAGGAAAACCGCCGTCCTTTCATGGGTCCCTTCAACTTTGGGAATAGGAAAAAGTCACACGGAGCCATATCTGGTGAATTTTTGCACTTTGCAACACTTTATTTCATTTTTTACGCAAAATTTAATACAAATTCTTTGACTTTTCAATTCTTCCATTGTAAAAATCGCCGAGCTCAGAAAAACACGTCGAACCTTTAGCGACTACCACAGACAAAGTAAACAGTGAATATAGCTGAAAATTTCATCATACTTTAGGGGCATGTATACCAACACAATAAAAAAAAATTTTGACAATCAGACACTCCAGACCCGCGAAATTTAATTATTAGTAATTCCGGGTACTTTTTGAACAGACCACGTATATATTATATATATAATATATATTATATATAATATATATATATATATGACTCTGTTATAATTCCATTATCTTTTATCTAGGCACATGTGCATGGTGATGAGAGGAGTTCAGAAAATCAACAGCAAAACAGTAACATCAACAATGTTGGGAGTCTTCAGAGACGATCCAAAGACCCGAGAGGAATTTTTGAATCTCGTACATTCCAAGTAATTATAGTTTCACTAAAAAATCAGAGCATGAGACAGAATGAAATTTATAGTATTCGATGCAAACTTGTGTTCTAAACGAATGAATTTTGCAGTTAAATGTAAGTAAGCGGTTCAAGTCTTTGGAAGATGTTGAAGTCCGAGATGTCTTTTTATTAATATTTATACTAAAACGTGGTAATAATTTTATTCATGAGGTAAAGGTAATAGTAATATGTGTATATATATATATATATATATATATATATATATATATATATATATATATATATATATATATATATATATATATGTATATATATATATATTTATATATATATATATATATATATATAAATCTCGTGTCACGATGTTGGTTCGCGATGGACGCCCAAACTACTGAACCGATTTTAAATTTTATTGGCTTATCGTGTGCATATATATCCAACTTAGGTTATAGGAAATTTTGAAAAGTAAATTTGAAATATAAATATATAATTTTTATAAATTTCTAAAAATTTTGACAGAAAATGACCAAAAAAAAACAAAACACTAAAATGACAAATGTCAAAATTTAAGGAAATTTCGATATATAATTTTTGAAAACAAAATTTGACATTTCAAAAAATACAATTCAAAAACATGTACATATATAGAAATATCCAACATTTAAATCCAAATTTGATGAAATGCTATATTCAAAATCACTGTTTATAGTTTTAAATCTAATTAAAAATCAATGCTTAAAAATTTGAATAAATGTTGACATATAAAAAAATTAAATGTCATTTGTCTATGAAAATAATTATATAAATTACGATTTAGATTTAATTGATTAGTTTACCAAATTATTTCGGAAACCAAAACTTCATCAAAACATTATAAATCAGAGATCACAATAAAAAAGCGACATATTGAATTTAAAATTAATCATAAACAAAATTTTGACATTTCACAAAAAAATGTTTAACGACTTACTTCAATAAGAAGCAAATAAATTAATTATTCCAAGTTATGGTATAGGCAATATTGCCAAGCAAATCATAGATACAAAACATTATTGCAAAATAAATATTATCATATTATATTAATTTTGGACCAAAAAGGAAATATTTTGACATTTATAAATTTAGTGCATATTGGATGTATGAAATTGACATTCACTATTTTTCAATTAAATGCAAATGTAAAAAAATCAAATATTTATATAAAAAATTGTATATTTAGATAAAGATACTGCGTTGATTTAGACTAAAATTTAATTTATTCTTTAATTAAAAAAAATTGACATAAACAAAATTAAAATAAACAAAATACTATGATGCGAGTGAATTAATTTTTGAAGTATGAAATGTCAAATAATTTCGAAAATTATAACATGTTTTTAACTATTTGTCAAAGAATCAGAGTCCAAATCTATTAAATATTTGATTTTTGGCACTTTTATTAATTTTTTATCAATTTAGGCATATTTTTTATGGCAAAACAACGTTTGCCGGGTTAGCTAGTATATATATATATATATATATATATATATATATATACTGTACATAATAAATTTGTGTCCTTTATCCTTATGAATAAAATTGTTCCACGAAACAAACATACACATGATGGGAACAAAAGTAGATATTTAAAATTTAAAACAAATTTTTTATGACAAAAAAATCGTTAGGATTTAGTTTAGAATTTAAGTAAATTAATTTATTTTTCTTGATTTTATACTAAAATAAAGTTTAACGAGTACTTAATTTTAACAAGACACATGGATGAAATTTAGGTTAATGGGTATGCTGCAATTTTAATAAAAAAAATACATTTATGTATGTATTAGGTTCGTCTTTAGTATGTACATTTTTGAATTTCTTGCTCCCAAGGGCTCAAATGCTTCTAAAATAATAAAAAAAATTCTCTGAAAGTTTTAGCTCTTAATATTAACATTTAGACAATCCGCAATTCAATTAAAAGTTTTGTATATTTATTATTAACATTGCGGACTATCTAAATGTTAATATTAAGAGCTAAAACTTTCAGAGGATTTTTATTTTATTAATTTAAAAGCGTTTGAGCCCTTGGGAGCAAAGAAATTCGATAATGTCCATATTAAGGACCACCATAATATATATGCAAATTAGCTTTTCTAAAATATATATATACAAATGATTGTTGTTAATAAAAATGTTATTGTCTATGCAATAAATGAAAAGATATATATTTTAATGTTAAGATAATATTAAAGTTTTGATGATAAATTTATCTGTGTTATACTATGGAAATGTAACAATCAATAATTTATAAGATTTATGTATGTATATATATATATATATATATATATATATATATATATGTATATAATAATTAGCATATAAGAATTTATTTATATTTATTTTCAAATTAATAATGTGTTCTTCTATCATGTGATTCCTTCATAATTTCTATCTTCTTGCCTTACGAATTAATTAATTAAATTAATCAAATTAGAGATTCAAATAAGTTCTTGACAATCTGTAACTTAATAATACATTGTTAATATATAATATACAATAATTGTTACTCCATATATATTTATATATATAACTGACCAATAATTGTTGAAACGGTTATGAGATACTAAATAATGTTCCAAATAAAATGTGTTATTAAAGTTGATGAATAAAACTTTTAATTTTATAATGGGATATATAAATATATATATATATATATATATATATATATAATATATATATATATATATATATTGTTGTTTATCAATTTATGTATTTCATTTATCATCTTTTGAATTTGAATTTTGCGCGAAAGGTTAAATGTCAAAGTTCACGTCGATCCGCCATTGACAGTGAATAAAACATTTCTGCAAAAATATTATTTGTGCAAAAATGAAGTCATTATTAGTGTTATTAATAATTGTGAAAGCTTGTGCGGCAAATAATGTGTTAATTACATCTAATTCTGAAATAAAACCTATTGTCATTTGGCATGGAATGGGTAAGATGATTAAATCAAATTTTTTTTAGGTTATGTTGTAAAATATTTATAAAACTTTGTGTATTTTATATTTTGTTGTAAAAGAATGTTACAAATAGTTTTATTTAATGTCTATTAGTATGATACGGTATATATTTATATTATATGAGATTAGATGACGGCAATTGAAAAGATTGTCTATATGTTGTGATAATGGTTTTTAATGTATATATATATATTATCTTTTTCCCCTAGGGGATAGTTGTTGTTTTCCCTTCAGCATAGGAGGTTTTTCAAAACGACTCCAAGAGAAACTCTTGCCCGGTGTTTACATCCATTCGATAAGAATAGGAAATAATGAATTCGAAGATGTTGAAAATGGTTTTTTCATGTCTCCGAACAAGCAAGTCAGATTGGCGTGTGAAGCTATACAGAATGATCCACGACTACAAGATGGTTATAACGCTTTAGGCTTTTCTCAGGGGGGACAATTTTTGTAAGTAAACAGTAAATGACTTAGATATTGAGATAATTAATTGTAGAAGATTGATATTAGAAAAGTAGAAAATGGTGGATTTTTTATATAAAATGAATAAAATTGTGGAAAAAATAATGTACAGAAGTATCGCAACATAATTAAAATGAAAATGATAAAAATAAATAAGTGGATTATATAACAAAATATTAGAAATGTTAACAAATTAGAAAATTTTTGAAAGTTTACCTGTATGATTGATTATAGTCTAACACCTTTTCACTAAAAACGATTTTATCAAAAAAAGTGATTTTATAAATTTCTTTTCAATCAAAGAAACAAAATTTGTAATTATTTTAAGATATGTCTTATTTAGTTTGTTATGTGAGACAAAAAGTATTGTTTCCTCGAAGTTACGATTTTTGATGTTTTAGTTTTCTTGTCAGTAGAGTCCCTTATTCCTTTAAATTTTCTTATCGCCAGTAGAGTCCCTTTTTGCGTTGAATTATAATTTGATTGCCAGTAGAGTTCCTACTTCTCTTAATATCGTCAATAGGATCTTTTTTTTGTTTTAAGGGTCAGTAGAGTCCCTTTTGTCGCTCCCATTAAGATTTAGTTTGCTCGTTAATAGAGTCCTTTTTTAATTTGATGGCCAGTAAAGCTTTTTTTTAAATTTTATTTTTGGCTTTGCTCGTCAGTAGAGTCCCTTTTTTCGTTAATTTTTAACTTTGATCATCAGTAGAGTCCCTTTTTTTTTTCAATGTTAATTTTGATCGTCAGTAGAGTCCCTTTTTTCTTTCAATTTTACTTTTGCTCGTCAGTAGAGTTCTTTTTTTATTTTATTTTTAGCTTTGATCGTCAGTAGAGTCTCTTTTTACATTAACTTCTAATTTGCTCCTCAGTAGAGTTTTTCTTTACATTTAAATTTACTCGAAAATACTTCTTTTTTCTTTCAATTTTTTGTGTTGCTCATCAGTAGAGTCTCATTTTAATTTTTTTTTGTTTTGCTCATCAGTAGAGTCCCTTATTAATTTTATTTAAATTTTGATCGTTAGTAGAGTTTTTTTTCCGTTAATTTTTAATTGGATCGTCAGTAAAGTCCCTTTCTTTTAAATATGATTACTCTTTTTTCCAATTTTCTGGTTGCTCGTCAGTAGAGTCCCTCTTTATTTTATTTTTAATTTTAGTTTTGCTTGTCAGTAGAGTCCTTTTTTCCGTTAATTTTAAATTTGATCGTTAGAAGAGTCCTTCTGACTTTCATAGTGATTTATTTGTATTTTAGGCGAGCCTTAGCTCAGAGATGTAACGGACCACAAATGTACAATCTTATAACTTTGGGTGCTCAACATCAAGGTGTCTTTGGGGCACCCTATTGTCCGGCAGTTCATCACAGTAGTTGCGAGTATTTTAGAAAATTGTTGACTCAAACTGCTTATATAAGGTATATAATAAATACATATATATATATATATATATATATATATATAAATATATATATATATATATTTATCTATCCTTTCCCCCAGGTGGGTCCAAAAGTCTTTAACCCAAGCAACTTACTGGCACGATCCTCTAAATGAAGACAAATATAAAAACAGCAGTATATTCTTAGCCGATATTAACAATGAACGTGACTACAATGTTGACTATGTAACAAAATTGTCCTCGTTGAATAAATTTGTGATGGTTAAATTCAATTTCGACACGATGGTG